GAATATTTGCCCTTTGCAATAAAAAATCTTTGAATTTTTATTATTTTTTTAACCCTTATTTCAAGAATGAACTTTAAAAAAGTTACAAAAAAGGTAGTTTTGGAGGGGGATCAGATCTTTGCTTTAACCACTTTTGAAAGAGGAAGGTTTTATTTGCAATCAAGCGGTGATTATTGTTTCCACGTCCAAAATGAGAGGCCCACTTATCCGTCGAAGAAAAGCAAGAAGGATGTTCATGTCCAAATGACTGCTCCGGATGGTACCTACGAAGCCTCCATTACCACCACAAGTTCTAACCCTCTCTCTGAACACACTTTAATGGCGTCCCTTCCACCAATCAAAGCTTCTAGTTCAGATAACCTTCAATTCACTTCACTTCTCCCATTGTTTCGTCCTCTTCTTCTCTAACTTAAACTTCATCAAACAATGCTACTCCCTGCAATCAACTGCGCCCCTTTCTCCTGCTCTCTTCGTCTCACTAACCCCATCTCCGTCTATTCACGGAATGTCGCCGTCGCCGCCCAAGCGTCGCCGGCGAATTCTAGCTACAGCGTCTCCGACAAGGATCTCGAATCCCGTGGCTTCATGCTTCACCGCACCGTCTCCGACCTCAACCTCGACCACCTGAACTCGGTCTTCGCCGCCGTCGGATTCCCCAAGCGCGATCCGGACAAGATCAGGATTGCGTTGGAGAATACCGACGCCTTGCTCTGGATCCAATACGGTAAAACGCAGAGGCCGGTGGCGTTCGCTAGGGCTACAGGCGACGGCGTGTTCAACGCGATTATATGGGATGTGGTGGTGGATCCTTCCTTCCAAGGGCTTGGTTTGGGGAAAGCTGTGATCGAGAGGATTATTGAGGACCTACTGCGTAAAGGCATTTCCAATATCGCATTGTATTCGGAGCCTCGTGTGCTAGGGTTCTACAGGCCTCTAGGTTTCGTCGCGGATCCGGACGGGATCCGTGGAATGGTGTACTCGAGAAAGAAAAAGAAAAACTAAATACAGAATTGCTCCAATTCAATTGCATCTGATTATTTTCACGCAATATCCTTCCCTTTCATCTACCAGAGTTTTAATTAACAAAGCATTCGATCTTTTCCCGGTGAAATTCGAAAAAGGAATAAAGCAACAAACAAGCAATCAAGCCAACTTTCCATCTTCGATACCATGGAAATCAAAATTACTCTCCAAGATTCAGATAAAACAGACGGCGATAAGAATCGGAACACGATTCCGATTAGAGCTTAAAATCAAAATCGAGAAGAACAAAAGTACCTCCGATCGAACGCTGGATTAGGAAACATGACAAATAAGTGCAGGAAATTCCCAAAACAATGACGATAGAAATCCAATAGCCTTGAATGCTCAAACCGATCACCATCTCTTCAAAACCAAACCCTATAGCCATTAACCAGAGGCGCCAAAATTACGACACACCTCAGTTGAACATTGAATAATTCAATCAAAACTTAAAAAGATTCTACTACAGCATAAAAATTTCTAAAATTCAGGATTAAAATTCTAATACTCATCCAAAATTAAATTTAAGCAGCAACTAATAAAATTAAAAAATGGTTCCTTTTTCTCTCCTTTAATACTAATACTTTTATAGACGATATTTTTCTTCTTGTTTTTTTTTTTCCCTTGAACAAAATCCTACGAATTGGGCTCATATTGGACCGAAACTCCATATTCCCTACACCGGCCCATAAGATAAACGCTCCGAAAGAATTATACCATAAAAAGACTAAGATATTTTATATACTAAATTATTAGTACAGAATAATTTGTATACTAAAATGATGAGTTGTGGCATTTTGGAGACATGTGTGAATTGATGATTGTGCTAGATGGATGTAGATTTATCATTGTGTGGCACCTCTAATGGTTGCCAATTGAACAACAAGCTCCTCCCCTTTATAGCTTATCACCAACTACAACCAAGTTCAACCTAGGATTAAGATTAGTAAAAAAGGATATATCCATTACTATTCATATATATATATATATTCGTCCAAATTTACTATTTTTCTTTTATATGTCATCTAAACTACGTAGAATTGCAAAGAAACTCAGCTCTAATGATAAGAAATCACTATTTTAATGATCAAATATCTACATAGCCAAGAAGTTCTTTGATATTTGAATCACTTACAATCAAGATCGATCGATTCAAGTTTGAATGATTCTAAACATACAATCTAAAGTACATGTAATTGTAAAAAAAAAAATTAAGCACAAATTCTTTGCATTCTTCCAATCTACCCTTACAAATATAACATACATGACTTTATATAGCCTCAACATAAATACTTTTAACCTTACTAACATTCAAGAGTTGGTAATTTTCTATTTTATAACCATAATTAGGCACTATGTAAATGTAACATTAAATTAAATGAAAAAATCTTGAATACATTAATGAAATAAACTTTAAATTATCATCCATCTAAAAATAAATCTTGACATGAATTGTTTATGATAATTTGAATAACATTTTCTTCTTATTTTCTTTGAACTTTATATTGCATGATTGATACGGGTTCATATCAGCTTTTGTATTGTAGTTCTAAATTTACGATCCTTCTTCTTTTCATTGTTTATAATATATATATATATGTATGGTATAAATAAGATGTCCTCAGCCACAAACGGTAGTGGATTGAAACCTTAACCAATATTGGTGGGAAAGCAAAGTGAAAAACCAAACATGCTTTTTAAGGTAGATTTGTATTATATTACTTATAAATACCAAACTCAAACACCATATCCACTCATTTATATTATATTTGTTAATATTATTTAACATTAACTTTAAACACCATGCGTTGTTCATTATCGAAAGAGACTCCCACAATATAGCTCTCTATTAATAAACGTTAATTACATAAAATAAATGTTTTATAATAAAATTTTTGAAATTAGTAAATATTAATAACAATTTTCATATATTAAAAAAAAAAGATTTAATAAAGTAGTCCGTACGGTCTTTGAAGAAGAAAAATGGAAAAGTCAACGTAGAAGAAAGGAGAGGATAAGAAGAAGTCAAACAAGGTGGGGGTGGAGGGGGCTGTTTAAGTGGAGACAGTGGACGTAGTTACAGGGCTCTGTTCGTACGTTTTGTTTGTGGCTGCCACTACCACTCGACCCTAAACCCAGCCTCCTCCAAATCATAAGCTTTAACCAATTTCACGTTCAACCACACCACCACCCATCCTTTTTCTCTACAACTATACATAAAAAAAAAAAAGTAATACTCCCACCGATCGCATTGCATATCGTTCTTGACATATGTGAGGAGGGTCGTTGTCTTTTATAAGTGGTATCACTGAGTTATATACCTGGCTTAGTCGTGTCTGTGTGTCAAAATAGATAATACCTGTTATGGGTGAGTGAAAGTGTGTGAAAGACTAAAATATTCTTAGTACTTTTGAACAACTTTTGATAAATGATTGGTTTAATAGAAGTAAGCGTGTGAAAGTGTACTATAAAAATGGAGTTATATATAGAATGATTTGAGTCAAACTCAATGATCAAGATTGTCCTTTATTTTCCTCAATTATTGGCACTGAATAGCGGAGAGAGAGAGGAGCCGTCGGCTGGGTGCTGCCCACAGGGCACCGCGCTTATTGGGGTTCACTTCATGCCACGCCCGCCCTCTTCCTGCACTTCGGTCTCAGATATTAGCTCAATTCATTGGTCCTAAATTTTTATACGATATATCCCGTGGATCTAGTGAGATTTAGTTTTGCACGGATATAATGATATTAAACTTTTAAAAGTTTTAATAATATTCATAAATTAAAAAAATTAAAAATACTGATAAAGTTAGATTGGATGAACAGTATTTAAGAGAAATTGTTAAATTTTAAAAACTTTCATTAAATTCTCGAGCTAAAAAAATAATTTAAAAATATAATTATATTTAAAAGATAAAAAATAATGTTCAAATTATTGACACATCATAAATGATGTATAAATGTTTTAATGGCACTCTGAAAAAGTTCATCAGTAGTTTTGAAATGTGGCACTAATAGTAAATGAATAAAGTTCAAGAGTATTAATGGAACCTTCAAAAGGTATTTTTTTTAAGTAACCGTTTTTGAAACTTCGATATCATGTATTAAATGAACATCTCTACATGAATGAGCGGTATGCAAGTTGTTGATGCATGCCTTGATAAGGGAGAGAAAATTTGTGGTCTCACATTGATCATAGGTACAACTGACTACACATTATTGGTTATTGTTGAACATTATTCTATAGCCTTCTCACTTGTGTTTAGAGCATTTTTTTAACTAATTAAATTATTATTAAAGAAAAAACACGAAACTCCGACCTACCTAACATATGTGTGAAACTTCTCACTATTTTAAAATTATAAGGCTAACGACGATATATAGGAGGTCAAAGCGGACAATAGATGCATTTTAAAATCGTAAGGTTGACGACAATACGACAATATTTGTTAGCCGTGGGTTTGAGCTGTTACATGAGTTTTAAAACTGTGATGCTGATTACGATACGTAACGAGCCAAATAAGATAATATCTCATACTAGTAGGCTTGGACTATGACACGAGCTTTAAAATCGTGAGGGTGGCAGTTATTTGCTAACGGTGGATTTAAGCTGTTACACGAGCTTTAAAGCTATGAGGGTAACGTCAATACGTAATGGGTCAAATCAAACAATATCTGCTAGCGATGACCCCGAGCGAGTCTCAATTATGTCCTCCCACTTTAAAAATTTTAATTTTAGCGGTTGAAATTTAAAATTAATTTCAGAACAATCCTTGTGAATGAAGTAAACGTATGGAGAAGTAAATTAAGAAACTAGGGTTGGAAAAAAAAAATGAAAGAAAATAAAATTGACGATAAAATAGAAATTTGATTTTTTTATAATTTAAGATAAAATTTTACAAATATTTATTTAATTTAACATTTAACTTAATTATATATTATTTTATTTTTGAAAGTCTGGTACGGTTGAAGGAAAAATTTTCCGTATGATCCCATTAGTGGCGGAAGGAAGCAAAGAGCAAACATTAGGTGGTGGCGGAGGAGACCAGTTTCGAGAGAAGCGGAAGCCATGGAGGCAGGGGATGGAACTGATGTTAAAGTTGAAATCCGCTTGTCTTCATTTTGTTTGTCCAAATGCAGTTGGAAGCTGATTTTCCAGTTTTTAAAAAGGAAACGAAAAGACAATCGATTAAATTACTACATCTTCATTGGGGAACTACGACCTCCAATTCAGTTCTTCTTCTTACATCTGGATTCGATGTGACACTGAACTTTAATCCTTCTCCCACGCTCTTATCCACTTCATTTTCATTGCAAGCCAAAAGGAGGAAAAGAAGCTGGGTAAGTGTATGATACGAATTAAAAATTCTGTTCATCTTTCTACGAATTAAAGTATTTTAGGTGATGGATCTAATCTTGTTGTAAACTAAACTAATTTGCAAGTGGGTTTCAGGTAGAATAAGCGCAAAGAAGAGGAAAGATTAGATAGCAAATGGAAAGGTATGTGAATAATTTATTGTTACCAAGTACGGGAAAGCTTGAGTTAGGTGTGCTGTTTGCTTAAATAATCATATGGATAACATTGGGGCTCATGACATTTGTAGCAATCTTTCTGTTCCTTTTGGAGTTTCTCGACTTTTTGGCTTTTAGTAGGATAAATTGGTGGAGAGGAAGAAGATTGGCACGACTTTTTAACCCAATTTTTTTTTCTTTGTTGGAAGAAGGTTTAATATTTGTTGAATGACGCAGGCAAGTGAATGAAACAAAAATGGAAAACGCAACCAGAGCCAATCAATATGAAGCCAGATTCTTGGTATGGTTATGCATATGGTTCACAGACAAGGTGTTTGATGAAATGCTTCAGAGAAATAGATGCAGCTGTGATTTAGGTAAATGGGTCCCTCCAACCCAATATTTCAGTGCTTAATGAGTCATCAGAAGTCTAATTAAATTGGTTATCAGAACTTGAAAATGGTTGCTTGAGAATTTGCCTTTTTGTGTTTACCTTCATTGCGTCATTGGTTCTTAAGGTATTATTGGCTGCTTGAGTTTAATGCATTATGGTTCGTAGACAAAGGAAAATTTCTTACCTGGGATTGACTTTCACGCCATTAGTCTTAACTTTTGAATTGTTTCACGCACGGCATGATTTCTTCTATCACTTATGAGCATATATGTTTATATCCACATTGGATGCATATTTTTGCACTAGAGCTGCACACTAATAGAGTCATCGCCAATAATTTGTTTAAGCCTTATGCTCATGTAAGCCTCCTAACAACTGTAGCTTTACTTTGCTGAATTGACCCACTTTTCCAGCTTTATCATCCTATAAAACCCATCATTCCTCCTGCTCTTATTCCTTGCCTCACCATCACTAATCTGCTAGAAAAACCCCCTGAAGTCACTACCAAATATGATTCCAGGTGAAAACTCTTCTCAAATTCCTTCAAACATTGGGATGATGCAGAACAGCTTTCAGGCCCTCCATCATTTCAATGGATTTTTAGGCAACCTTCCGATGTTTCATGTTCCTCATCCCGGCCACGAATTCCTTGCACAATCCTCAAGTCTTAGCTACAACTCAACATCTGATGATGCAGAGGAACAACAGAAGAGTATTATTGATGAGAGAAAGCAGAGAAGAATGATTTCTAATAGAGAATCAGCTCGTAGATCACGGATGAGAAAACAGAAGCACCTTGATGAGCTTTGGTCTCAGGTTCTTCGGCTTCGCACCGAGAACCATGAACTGATAGACAAATTGAACCATGTATCCGATAGCCATGAAAAGGTTCTTTTGGAGAATGCCAGGCTCAAGGAAGAAGCTTCTGATCTTCGTCAGATGCTCAGTAACTTGCAAATTGGCAGTCCTTATAATCCTTGCTTGAGTAACCTTGAAGATATTCCCTGCAACACTGCACATCTGAGAGCTGAATCTTCATCATGCCAGTCCATTGCTAACTCTATAGACAACCTACTCCATTGAGGATAAATCTTTGAACTCTGATAAGAACTTCTAGTTCTTTTTATCTAGTTTTGTTATTAATCCTCAGTCTTTGAATTGAGCTTGTAAGAGATCAGTAGTAGAATAAGATTATTTCAAGTTTCTACCATGGGTTGAATCCGGAGTGTTCTCAGTGCCTGTTAAAATTAGCATTCATGAAACGAATTACTCCCTGCCCGCCGCATACACATGCTGAAGCTGGAGGAGCCAAAGTACCTGAAAATGATATATTCTTGTTATATCATGAATGCCTGAATCATAAACTTCATAATTTTCCTTTTTAAACCCCACCAGCTCACATCATTAAAGTTCCACCAAGGAGAGAAATGGATAAGAAACAGGAAACAATTCAGCAGAGGAAGTAAGATTTTTGTCCAGTGAGCAAAGTGTATGGTGGAAAAACAGCCATCGGTTCTTCACAGAATGAGAGGGGCACAATAGGACAAGCCATGGTGGAGGGCGCTGCTGGTAGTGGCTCATCATTGAAATGAATACCATGAGGCCAAGCTTTTGAAAATGGTATCCACTAATACAAAATACCCTATTAGCTTGTTATCTTTTTTCTTGGAAGCTGATTTAAACAATCAAGCTTAACAGTTCATATCTTAATTATACTGTTCAATCACGCAAAAACCTCAGAGCAATGAATTTGACTCTCTATCTCTCTCTGTCTCTCTCTCTGTAGTTAAGGCATCAGAATTTGTTGCATAACTTTGTGTTAAACTGAACCATCTCAGGCTGCACTGTTATCAACCATTAGGAATTGTCTGAATCAGAGGTGACGTTTCAGGTGGTGGCTGAACAGTGTGATCCCTCACTCTCTGTCCCTCTTTTTTCTTTTTTTCTTTTTTTTTTAACATTGACAATTGCTGTTGCATGATCACATCACATTGGCCTCACCCTTTTATGTATTTCTCAATTACAGTGTCCTGTTGCTGCCGTACTACGATTAAACTCTCTTTACTTTACTGTCATCTAAACAGTCGTTTGCTGTCAAATTTTCTTTCCATTCGTCTGATTTTTCAGCCTTCAGAATCAAATTTGGTGGGATTTGGATAGCGAAATCCCATCTCAATCTCCTTATTCCTCCCCTCTCTACAACTTTCTCAAATGAAGGTTTTTAGCTTAGTGCTGCTATGTGGGGGTGACACAGCAGCCAGTTTTTCTGCTAGAAGGTTGGAAATCCGATCAGATCCCAAAGCAGAATAGATCTAATTTAGATAAGGATCATGATGATAATAATTGTTGGCATTACATACAATTCAGTAATTAATCTGTCGCGGGTGGGATAAGTATTATGAGGATTTTTGACATTAAGATAAATTTAGCAATTAGATTAACCGCCCATTTACCGTTAATGTAGATCACAGATATGATTGCTAAGCACCGTTACCCTTTGCTCATACGCAGTTATAAAAAAGAAGGTAGGCTGCCGTTAAATGACGGAGCCTGAATCGCCGCAAAATAACCCGTCCAGATATTTCACGATTGGCTATTCCACCTGTTTCACTTCATGCTTTTATCCTGCCAATTAAATTTAAAATATGGTAAACACATTTTTAAATTTATTATCTACTTTTGAGCATAAGCTCCCGGGATTAATGTGGTACTTCTTCCCAACAATCTTTCACACATACAAAAATTAAAAAGAATTAATAAATTTACTAATAATTTTCATCTAAAAAGAATAATTTTGAAATAAAGTAAGGAGGGCTAATTTTATTAATTTAGCCATTTTAGAATGTAGCCTCCGAGAAATACCGTTTTTAGTAATTTTGAAAATAATGCAAAGTATTGATAAGGACGGGGAAGCTGTATTATGCGGATACCGTTACTAACGCGCAATCCTGTTATCCTTGAAGATTGTGAATTCTCTTATCGTCGTCTCTCCCAATCAACTTCGTTATCTTCTTCTCTCTCAAAATCTCTCCATCTCTCTCTCGGGGGATTTTCTTTCTCTCCATCCATCAATCGCTCACAATGAAAGCTGACACTCTAAGCATACACAAGCCTGCTCTTCCCCACCCAGTTAGGCCTTTCAATAGAGCTTCTTTCCCGCGCTCAATTCTCTTCTCTACTTTCGGTTTCATTCCCAAACCTTCCCGCCATCCGGGTTCCTTTCGCTTGCCTCAGACCTCCTGCTTCAAGGTCCAAATTCCTGTGATTCTGTATCACCTTTACTTTTTCCTTCCTAATTTTCTCGTTAATTTTGAGCTTTTTGGTTCCTCAGGGTGTGCGATATGACAGTCCAGTAATGGGCGCAACGGAGTTATCCGAGCTTGAAGATGTGGAATTGATGGTGGAGATGTGCATTACACATACACTGCCACCGTCTCTGACGCTTAAGCAGGGGCTGGAGAGTATCAGTGAGGCTATTGAAAAGTTGAAGTTAGAATCTCCACGTTCTTCCGACGGAGTTTTCAGGTTTCAGGTGTGGCTTTGTTTGTATTTTCGACCATTGATATTTGTATTTGGAGTTCAAATTTTTGAAGGCTTATCGTCAGACTCTTTTTTGGTTTGTACCTTGTGGAACGATAAACTAATGATGAAATTGCAGGTGGCTGTTCCCCCGAGTGCAAGAGCTCTTATGTGGTTTTGTTGTCAACCAGAGTCATCTGAAGTGTATCCTATCTTTTTCCTTTCCAAGGAGAAGGACGCAACAATTAAGTCACTGTACTTGAATGATACCCGCGGTGTTTTTGGAATTGGGACTGCAATTTACTTTGCTAGCTTGTCTTCTACTTCATCAAAACAATGTACATTGAAAAGGTTCCTTTCATACTTTACCTCCAGTTTACTGGCTTAGATACTTGAATCAGCAATACTTTAAAAGGATGGTGTTAGGACGCTGTATCTTTTTTCTATTACAGTAGTAGTCACGGAAAAGATTATGCCTGAAAATTTGGAAAAGTGGCATGTAGATCTCTTTTTAACTGTTATATATCTTTTCAAGTCATCCAATAAGTTGATTGAAAGATTCGTGGAGAGTAGACACATAATTTAGCTTTTGTTTGGTAAATGGTTATGAAGAATTAATGTATTTTTCAATGCCAACTTGAGTATATAACTCAATCAAGCAAGACTTTTGAAACTCTTTTAGAGGTTTTAGGTTTAAATCTCTACCTTATTGAATGAAAAATTAATGTAATTGTCTGCCTCTTGTTCTTACATCATATTTTTGCATCTCTGGTTTTTAGTTTTTGGAAGCATTAGCATATACGGCATGTCTAAATTACTTCTAATAGTAAAATGTTTGTTGTTATGGTTTCTTTATGGGTATACAAAATGCTGTTGTATCTGATTCACTATTCAATGTCACTGAAAGCTCGCCCTACTCAAGCTTGTTCCATTACTTTTTACGAAGGTATCTCATGAATGATTCAGCTCCTATTATGGCTTATGGTTTTGTTAATGCTAATACCGGGGAGACATCTTCACTGAAGAACGAGGCTGGTCATTCATACTTTTGCGTTCCTCAAGTAAATTTTTCTGTCTGGATTTATTTAATGCCGGAATTATGCCATTGATCTGGTCATGCTGTTACACTGGTTAATTCTCTGGAGGAATATGTGCTTATAATGTCCTTGAATAATTATGGTCTTCATAGATTGAGTTGAATGAGTACGAGGGCGTTTCTGTTCTCTCTGCAACACTTGCATGGAGTGAAGCTTTCCCTTGTACATTTGAGGAAGCTCTTCATTCTTTGGGGTCATCTATCTACCAGGTATCTTGGGGTGCAGCTTTATGTTCATTTCATATTTACCCATTTTCATTCTAGTTAAATATTGTTAGTTCTCTTCCAAGATTCTGATAACCATTATCTAATTTGTCTTTGACATGGAACCTTATAATAATCCGTATAATTAGGAGCATGAAGAGATTTAGCTTTTAGGGACCTTTTGACCTACATATTATATTGTTGATGTGCTAGCTTGATAATACCATATGATTGTTTTGTGGCTTATGTGCAGATTGGTACTAATTTTCCATCTAGAGAAAACTTCCAGTACAAATATATAAGATCTTCTTTAACAGCTTCGAATCATGTGGACGTGACAAATCAGATGGTATAGATTTTAATTTTTTTTCCTGATACTAACTTGATAGAACATTTTGTTTGAGTTGATGATTTTATGAGCATTTAGTTGATTAGTCAGGTGGATTAGTTGACAACACTTTTTTAGTTACTTGAAATATAGCTTGTTGCATTCATTAAGATGTATAGAACCAGTAGTTCTTATAATTGGATTGACTAGTCATCGAGTGGTGTGTGCTGTACTTGTTGTAGACAATTCTCAAGAGCCCATTATAGACAATATATTTTAGAATTAATTGTTGTTTTTTTCCCCATCTTTTGACTAGATTTCCTACCCTCTCTCCGTAGGGAAAAAATGATCGGCAAGAAGACTGCAGACTTAAGTATTAACTTGGACGTGTTTGGCTATCTTAACAAAGGTTAAGATTTTGGCTGATTTTTTTAAGTGGGCACTGAGATTATGTAACTATGTAATAATATATATGGTTTACACGGTATAGCTAATGAAAAGAACTCTGTTTCAGCGTTATGTTTGGCTATTTGGTTGGCAAAAATGAAAAGAAGAAAAACCATTGAAGACAAACGTGTGAATATTGAACATTTAGGGGATTGAAGTTAATTTTCATTGTTTGCCGAACAATGTGAAGAATAAAGCTTCACCTTCAGATTTTTTGCCCCCATTATTTTAGATTGGCAAATAAAATGCATTTTGTATTTCTTGCGAGGCTTGTCTATCAGTTTGTGTCTTAGTAGTTATCCTTTTTACTTATTAAATAGTTTTGTTTGTTTCCTATAAAATACTATATATAGATTTGACCTCATTTATAATTGCACCTCATTGTGATTGACTTAAAAAAAAAAAAACTATATGGAGTTTTTCTTTTCCCTCAAATCACTTAGACAAAAGAATATATTTCCCAGAAAGTTAGAAATCATATGGAGTTGTATGTTTCGATGAGGAGTTATATGTTTCGATTCTCACCATTCTCATTTAAGAGTACAAATATTGTAGGGATACATGAAAGTATTTTCTGTGGCTGGCGAAAGCTTCAGGACTGGCATCATGGAAATGG